GGCTGGTCTCGAACTCCTGACCTCAGGTGATCCGCTTGCTTCGGCTTCCCAAAGTGCTGGGATTACAGGCGAGCCACCGTGCCCAGCCATGGGTCTCATTCGTTTTAGTTGGAGCCCAAATTCCCTGGTGGTTCAAGTTCCAGTCATTCTCGGCGTTCTATAATCACAGGCCTTAGAGAGCAGTGCACCCAATGGCCTCAAATTATGGTTTCCTTAAGAGGCTATTAAATCCTGATTTCTGAGAGGAAAATTGGGATTTTGTGTTTTCCCTTTTAGACTTGAGTGTTCTGTTACTGTGGGTGAGCTCTTCTAGAACTTCCAAGTGGTTTCGAAGGGGATTTAGGTGTTGTCAGGAAGTGTGGTTGACAACGTGATATCTGGGCTTTAGAAAAACAGCATGTCACCTGTTTGATTTATTCCTTGATAACTTTTTGTTTGTTTTTGTTGTTGTTGTTTTGAGATAGAGTCTCAGTCTGCGCCCAGGCTGGAGTGCCGTGGTGCAATCTCTGTTCACTGAAACTCGTCCTACCGGGTTCAAGGAATTCTCGTGCCTCAGCCTCCCAAGTAGCTGGGATTACAGTGTGCCACCACACCCGGCTAATTTTCTTTTTCTTAGTAGAATTTTTGTATTTTTGTACACTTTTTGTATTTTTTAGTTTCATCATGTTGGCCAGGCTGGTCTCGAACTCCTGACCTCAAGTGATCCACCCGCTTTGGCCTCCCAAAGTGCTGGTATTACAGGTGTGAGCCACCCTGCCCGGCCTTCCTTGATGACTCTTTTGGGTTGTGTCCTTTTAGGAAAGAGGAGAATGCAGGGTTGATGGGAATGTGGAGAGACTGTGGGTTCAGACCCAGATGCACAGATAGCAGTGTCTGGTTGTGATCCTCCTGGGCTCAGTTGTGGGATCTTGGAGGGCAGTGTCCGCTTCCTGTGCCTGGCCAGGGGCTGCTTGGCATAGATCGGGTTCATATTTGCGTTTGCTGAATTGAATGGAGCGAGGTGACGGGTTAGACTGAGAGGATCAACTGCCCAGAAGGACCAGTTACCAGTTCGGGTCACCAGCAACAGCAGCTCTGCCTCCGGTACCTGGACGATTTGGGAGCCACACACAAAAGTGGGGACAAACACAGTTTTCCCAAGAATGCATCAAAGTTTTCAAAGAATGCATCAACAACAACAACTACTACAGTTGCTCAATGCATGCTTTGAATTCCATCATTGAATCCTGAGGCCAGCAAACTTTTTGACACCAAAGGACTGGTTTTGTGGAAGACAATGTTTCCACAGACTGAGCCGGGGCTGGGGGTGGGGGGTGGTTTCAGGATGATTCAAGCCCATTACATTTGTCATGTACTTTATTTATATTATTATTACATTGTAATATACAATGAAATAATTGTATAACTCACCATGATGTAGAATCAGTGGGAGCCCTGAGCTGGTTTTCCTGCATTAGACTGTCCATTCTGGGGGTGATGGGAGACAGTGACAGATCATCAGGCATTAGATTCTCTTTTTTTTTTTTTTTTTGAGATGGAGTCTCACTCCATTGCCCAGGCTGGAGTACAATGGCGTGATCTCGGCTCACTGCAATCTCCACCTCCTGGGTTCAAGCGATTCTCCTGCCTCAGCCTCCCGAGTAGCTGGGATTACAGGCACTGACCACCACACCCAGCAAATTTTTGTGTTTTTAGTAGAGACGGTGTTTCACCATGTTGGTCAGGCTGGTCTTGAACTCCTGACCTCATGATCCCATTTGGTGGTGATGGGAGACAGTGACAGATCATCAAGCATTAGATTCTCATAAGGAGTGTGCAACCTAGATGCCTCGTATGCACAGGTCACAATAGGGTTCATGCTCCTATGAGAATCTAATGCTGCTGCTGATCTGACAGGAGGCACAGCTCGGGTGGTCATACGAGTGATGGGGAGTGACTGTAAATACAGATGAAGCTTCCATCGCTCGCTTGCCGCTCACCTCCTGCTGTACAGCCTGGTTCCTAACTGGCTGGTTTCAAACTAGACTGGGCAACATGGCCAAACCCCGTCTGCACAACAAATACCAAAATTAGCTGAGTGTGGATCCTAAGTGTGTGCCTGTAGTCCCAGCTACTTAGGAGGCTCAGGTGGGAGGATTGAGTGAGCCCAAGAGGTGGAAGCTGCAGTGAGCTGTGATCACACCCACTGCACTCCAGCCTGGGTTACAGAATGAGATTCTGTCTCTCAACTCCCCAAGGGGTGGGGGATCCCTGGTTTAATCTGTCCAACCCTCTCCTCCCCATGAAATAAAGGAAGTTGTGAGTACTGTTTTGTGCATCATCCCTTCTAGTACTCAAGTCAGCCCAAGGTACTTCGATGGTTCCCTTCTGCACATGGGGAAACTGAGGCACAGATGCAGATCACGTGACCAGGAGTAGCCTGTCGCTTGAAACTCAGGTCTGCCTGATACATAAAGCTTGCACTCCACGGCTGGCGATGGAAAGTTGTGGCTCGCAGGTCTGAGGGAAGAGCCTCAGACAGTGTCTCACTCTGTCACCCAGTGCTGGAGTGCAATAATAGCCTCTGCAGCTTTGACCTAACTGGGCTAATCGATCCTCCCACCTTAGCCTCCCGAGTAGCTGGGACTACAGGTGTGCACCACAATGCCAACCTAATTTTTGTATTATCTGTAGAGATGCGGTGGGTGGGGGGGCGGACTTGCCATGTTGCCCAGGCCTGACCCTCCCAAGTGATCCTCTGGCCTCAGCCTCGCCTCCTAAGTACCGGGATTACAGGCATGAGAGAGCCACTGCAGGAAGCCAGATTGGACAATGATAGAATTTCTCCTGTACTCCCCTACTGTCCCATCTTAGGCCTGACTGCTGCGGGACCTGACAGGCATGGCTGGCTGTCCATCTGTTCCTTAGTTTGATTGCATAGCAGAGATGAGAAGGAGGCAGAAACTGAGCTAGAAAGTTGGCATTTGGCGCTCTGGGTTTTCAATGCACGAAGTAACACTTTGGCTTTTTATAGAATAACCTTCTGAGGAAATTAACCAAACCTAGGCATTTCAGCCCCCTGTGAACTTGCTTGGGAGCATGGTCACAATTTGTAAGGAAATGTTCTTGCCTGCCCCATGCTGATTTCTCTCTGTCTACCTCTAGGCTGTGGAATGGTCTGTTTTAACCATTAGCTTGTATCTGGAGCTCAGATGGTGCTGGACACTCCGTAAGAGCTCAGATCTGTTGATGGAAGCCACTAGAGAATGGGACAAGCAACAGGAGATGTTCTGCTGGCTAGTGAACTTTTTTTTTTTCTTTTTTTTTTTTTTTGAGACGAAGTTTCGCTTTTGTTGCCCAAGCTGGAGTGCAGTGGTGCCATCTTGGCTCACCGCAACTTCTGCCTCCTGGGTTCAAAGCGTTCTCCTGCCTCAGCCTCCCAAGCAGCTGGGATTACGGGCACCTGCCACCATGCCCGGCTACTTTTTTTGGTATATTTAGTAGAAATTGAGGTTTTGCCATGTTGGCTAGGCTGGTCTCGAACTCCTGACCTCAAGTGCTCTGCCCGCCTCGGCCTTCCAAAGTGCTGGGATTACAGGCATGAGCCACCGTGCCCGGCTCTACCCATCTTTCTTACATGATGATATTCAGCAGCCAGTCTAATAGGGGAGCATTGTTTGTCTTTATTTTCCGCGCATAGGTGCCGGCATCAGTAGCATAAATCCACGTAGAGCTGGGAAGTTCCAGGTGTCTGGCCTGTTTGCTCTGGTGGACGAAAGAGCAGCTGCAAGGTGGGGCTGATAAGCCAGTGAAGTCTGAGGATCCAGCGGGAAACTTATTCCTTTCTTTTGTTGAAATCAACATGGGCAGGAAATGGACATTTCCCCCAGTCAGAGAACTTTACATGTTTTTCTAACAGAATAGCAGTGTCTGAGGTGTATACACGGGGAGTGGCCCCCGTGGGAAAACGAGGCCACGAGGCTTCTGGCATGGAGATGACACACGGAGCCTCTCATAACTTCTAGAGGGGAAAACAAAGCAGTCATTCCAGGCTGGGCGACCTGTGTAATCCCAGCACTTTGGGAGGCTGAGGTAGGTGGATCACCTGAGGTCAGGAGTTCAAGACCAGCCTGGCCAACATGGTGAAACCCCATCTCTACTAAAAATACAAAAAAACAAAACAAAACGAAAATAGCTGGGTGTGGTGCTGGGCACCTGTAATCCCAGCTACTCAGGAGGCTGAGGCAGGAGAATTGCTTGAACCCAGGAGGTGGAGGTTGCAGTGAGCCAGGAGCCTGTAATCCCAGCTACTCAGGAGGCTGAGGCAGGAGAATTCCTTGAACCCGGGAGGCAGAGATTGCAGTGAGCCAAGATCATACCACTGCACTCCAGCCTGGGTGGCAAGAGTGAAACTCCGTCTCAAAAATAAATAAATAAGGCCGGGCGCGGTGGCTCAAGCCTGTAATCCCAGCACTTTGGGAGGCCGAGACGGGCGGATCACGAGGTCAGGAGATCGAGACATCCGGCTAACACGGTGAAACCCGTCCTACTAAAAATACAAAAACTAGCCGGGCGAGTGGCGGGCGCCTGTAGTCCCAGCTACTCGGGAGGCTGAGGCAGGAGAATGGCGGGAACCTGGGAGGCGGAGCTTGCAGTGAGCTAAGATCCGGCCACTGCACTCCAGCCTGGGCGACGGAGCGAGACTCCGCCTCAAAAAAAAAAAATAAAATAAATAAAAAAAAAAAAAAAATAAAATAAAATAATAAAAAATAAAAATTAAAGCAGTCAGCCTGGCTTTTAGGAACCCACAGAATCGGGAAGTAAGCTAAAAGTCATCTCCCTTTTGTCACAATGGAATTTGAAATAGGTGCATTTTCCTTCTGACTTAATGATTCTGTTTCACGGCGCCTCTGCAGAAATTCAGTATGGGAAAACTCCGTGTGTGTGTAGCAGCTCCCGGGAAAACTGTCGACCTGTGCACATTCAAGACTGCCATATACTTGTTATTGAAAAGCCATCAGTCATGTGAGCGGAACTTTTTTATGGCTGAGATTGTCCCCAGGGAAACCCGCCATGCAATTCAGACCTTCCACGGAGATCGATTCCAAACTCTCATCCCGTTCCCACTTCCTTGTTCCCATGGAGGCTGCGGTTCTCTCTCTCTGTGCCTCTTGCAGATGGTCATACCTATTTCCAAAAACGACACAGAAAACTTCAACATGTGGCTAAATTTGAACAGAGAAAAATAAGCAAAGAATTCAAGGCGCAAGGCATTTTCAGGGAGAGAGGGAGAGCTTTTGCGTGGTTTGAAGGGATGATCTTTAATGAGTTGAGGGTCATCTAGAATAGAATTAAACTGTTAAGAGCAAATTGTTGGAAATGCAAGGAGAAACTTCGGAGAAGACTCCAACACAGCCTTGATCTGGGAGATAAGACTCAGGTAACAAAAAGTTTGAACAACATGGTTAATAAGATTGTGGTAACAGATAGGACTGAACTTTGCACTCTGCAAACAATATACATTTTAAAGTGCTCTTGGAATAGTTAGAAAAAGTAATCATCTGTTAAATCTGGAAAAAAAAAAAAAACCACCCCAAACCAATGCATTCCATAAAAGCAGACATTGTACTGGCTCTAATCTCTGGCTGCAAGTAAGCATAACTGGAAATTAATTTTTAAAAGCTTAACTAGGCCAGGCACGGTGGCTCAAGCCTGTAATCCCAGCACTTTGGGAGGCCAGGATGGGCGGGTCACAAGGTCAGGAGATCGAGACCATCCTGGCTAACACGGTGAAACCCCGTCTCTACTAAAAAAAATACAAAATCTAGCCGGACGAGGTGGCGGGCGCCTGTAGTCCCAGCTACTTGGGAGGCTGAGGCAGGAGAATGGTGTAAACCCGGGAGGTGGAGCTTGCAGTGAGCTGAGATCTGGCCATTGCACTCCAGCCTGGGCGACAGAGCGAGACTCCGTCTCAAAAAAAAAAAAAAAAGCTTAACTGAACAAGCATGCAAGAGAGACTCCTATCACTTGATAATTAAAAATAAAATGAAAACCAAAAAACAAACAAACAAAAAACCCAAAAGGGCCGGGCGTCGTGGCTCACGCCTGTAATACCAGCACTTTGATCCCCTGAGGTCAGGAGTTTGAGACCAGCCTGGTCAACGTGGTGAAACCCCGTCTTTATTAAAAGTACAAAAATTAGCCGAGGGTGGTGGAGCATACCTGTAATCCTAGCTACTTGGGAGGCTGAGGCAGGAGAATTGCTTGAACCCAGCGGGCAGAGGTTGCAGTGAGCCAAGATCACACCATTGGACTCTAGCCTTGGCAATAAGAGCTAACCTCCATCTCAAACAAAAACAAAAACAAAAAAAACAACCAACCCATAAGTCTTAAGTTGGAGGATCGAAACACTGCAAGGACAGCCTATTTTAAGATGACAACGATGTGAACATGGAGACGAAGGCAGACATTTAAATGATGATGGAGAAAATTTGCTTGATAGTTTATTATAAAGATATAGAGAGAAATCACAAAAATGAGACGATGAATATTGGAAATAATAAATTAGCACAAACGAACCGATTAGAAAACAAATAGAACTGACAAAATAAAAAAGCTGGATCTTTTAGAGCGACGCTGCTCACTAGGGGTGGCCACAACCCATGCGAAAATTAAATTAAAAATTCATTTTCTCAGTCACACGAGCCAAGTTTCCAGTGCTCAGGGGCCATGTATGGTTGGTGACTACTGAAATGGATAGAACAGACATAGAACTTTTCCGTCGCTGCCGAACTTTTGTTGGACAGTGCTGTTTTAGAGAAGAGAATCAATAAAATAGAAAAACTAAGACAAAGGAGGGGGAGAGAACAAATATTGTAGATAAAATTAAGAATGAAAATAGATGTAATTTATTTTTGATTGATTGATTGAGACAGAGTCTCACTTGGTCGCCCAGGCTGGAGTGCAGTGGTATAATCTCGGCTCACTGCAGCCTCCGCCTCCAGGGTTCAAGCGATTCTCCTGCCTCAGCCTTCTGTGTAGCTGGGATGACAGGTGCGCGCCACCACACGCAGCTAATTTTTGTATTTTTAGTAGAGAAGGGATTTCACCCTGTTGGCCAGGCTGGTCTCGAACACCTGACTTCAGGTGATATGCCCACCTCGGCCTCCCAAAGTGCTGGGATTAAAAACAGGTGTCATTTAAATCCATAAAAATGTGTAGGCCGGGCACAGTGGCTTAAGCCTGTAATTCCAGCACTTTGGGAGGCCGAGACGGGCGGATCACGAGGTCAGGAGATTGAGACCATCCTGGCTAACACGGTGAAACCCCGTGTCTACTAAAAAATACAAAAAAAAAAACTAGCCGGGCGAGGTGGCAGGCGCCTGTAGTCCCAGCTACTCGGGAGGCTGAGGCAGGAGAATGGTGTAAACCCGGGAGGCGGAGCTTGCAGTGAGCTGAGATCCGGCCACTGCACTCCAGCCTGGGTGACAGAGCAAGACTCCGTCTCAAAAAAAAAAAAAAAAAAAAAAATTATAAAGACAGCTCTACTAACAATTTTGGAAATATTAAAAATAACTTCATTTACTGATTCAAGTGTGACTTTTATTTAGATTGTTTCTCTTTACCAGAAATTGAGGCTCTGAATTTGCCCCAGAGAAGGGCTATGCCATTCTCTCTCATAAGCTGTACTCTCTCTTATATGGGCTCAAAAAGCAGGAAACATCGGTAGGTTGAAACTCAACAACTTTTAAAAAGTGACTCCTGTACTTAATTGCATAAAATGTATATTACCTACGTGAATGAGAATAAAAACTTCCAAAGTGTCCCCAACAAACAGGGGTTTTTGCACCTTACCATGAGTAGCTTTCTGGAGCAAGCTGGAGTGGTTCGAGGTATGACTCGGCAACCACAAACACAACCATTTTTGTGTGGAAGTGTGGCTCTTCACCCTTTTTTTTATTTTGAGACAGAGTCTCACTCTGTTACCCAGGCTGGAGTGCAGTGGCGTGATCCTAGCTCACTGCAGCCTCAACTTCCTGGACTCAAGCCTCAGCTTCCCAAGTAGCTGGAACTACAATCGTGTGCCATCATGCCCAGTTAAGTTTTATTTTTTTTAAATCTTTAATTTTTTTAAGAAATAGAGATGAGGTCTTGCTATGTTTCCCAGTCTGGTCTTGAACTCCTAGGCTCAGGCAGTCCTCCTGTCTCAGCCTCCCCAGTAGCTGGAACTACACTTGTGTGTCATCATGCCCAGCTAGTTTAAAAATTTTTTTTTGCCGGGCACGGTGGCTCAAGCCTGTAATCCCAGCACTTTGGGAGGCCGAGACGGGCGGATCACGAGTTCAGGAGATCGAGACCATCCTGGCTAACACGGTGAAACCCCGTCTCTACTAAAAAAATACAAAAAAAATTAGCCGGGCGAGGTGGCGGGCGCCTGTAGTCCCAGCTACTCGGGAGGCTGAGGCAGGAGAATGGCGTGAACCCGGGAGGCGGGGCTTGCAGTGAGCTGAGATCCGGCCACTGCACTCCAGCCTGGGCGACAGAGCGAGACTTCGTCTCAAAAAAAAAAAAAAAAAAAAAAATTTTTTTTTTTTTTTTTTAAAGATGAGGTCTCGCTCTGTCGCCCAGGCTGGTCTTGAACTCTTAGGCTCAAGCAATCCTCCCACCTCAGCCTCCAAAGCGCAGCCTCTGTATCTTGAACTCCAGACCTCAAACCCAGATTGTCCACATGTGAGCACTTGTCTTTTTGGTTTGCTGTTTCTCTGGTGAGTCGTATCCAGTTGCCCAAGGTGGAAAGTTGGCTGTCATCCAGTAGATATGTCCTGACAACTCCACCTCCCGTATGGCTTCAGAAGCCAGCCTCTTCTTTTCTGTTTGCTCTGCCTCTCACCTTCCTCATCCATCTACCATAAGCCAGAAGAGTGACCCCCAAGTGTGAATGCGATGCTGTTCTTTCTGCCTGACATCTTTCTTTGGCTTCTCCTGTGAGGTAAAGTCCAAGCCCCTTGGTTCCCTGTCTTTCCTCTGTGAGTCTAATCTTCTATTCCTCTCACCCTGTACTTTGCCCTTCATCAACTCTGAACTGTTTATAGTTCTCTGAACGTAGCCCTAGTGATTCACACATGTGCATGTACTGTTCCTCTCCTGCTGTGATAAAGCAACAGTCACCTAATCCCCGCCCCCCATTGCATTTTTTTTCCTACAAGGTTTATTATGCACCTACTGTGTGCATGGCTCTTGGATGCTGTAATAAGCAAGACAGACACCATCTTTCCCTTCACGGGGCATTTGTGTCTTGTGCATACTAGGAGGACAGGGACAGGGTCTCCATCCATTTCTGCATTCCAATGCCAAGAGGGTGTCAGATCTGGGTGGGTCGGGGTAAGGAACAGGTAAACATAACTCACAGTGTAACACCGTGTTACAGCCAGGTGGGGTACCTCAGGCCTGTGATCGCAGCACTTTGGGAAGCCAAGGTGGGAGGATTGCTTGAGGCCAGGATATTGAGACCAGCCTAGGCAGCACAGACCTCCTCCCCCCCCCCCACACACACTCTTACACACTGTGCACAGTGGCACACTCCTGTAGTCCTAGCTCCTTGAGAGGCTAAGCCAGAAGGATCACTTGAGCCCAGGAGTCCCAGACTGCAGTGAGCTATGATGGTGCCATTGTACTCCAGCCTGGGCCACAGAGTAAGACCCTGTTTCAAAAAAACCCCAAAAAACAAAACAGAACACATCAAACAAACTCCTACTCCCCCAAACTCCATGCCACACCCTCTCCCGGTCTCTCTGGGAGACCTGGGTTCGAGTTCTGGCAGAGCTGGTTATTGGCAAAGTAGCCATTCTATGCCTCAGTTTCTCCAACTCTAATGGAGATGATTCCTTGAATAATTGAGTTAATATGACCTCACTGATGGATTGGACCGTGTGTGCTGCAAGCAGAATACACATTTTAGAGTGTATTCATGCCTGTGAGCCCAACACTTTGGGAGGCTGAAGCAGGAGGATCACTTGAGGCCAGGGATTCTAAACCAGCCTGGGCAACGAGTCCCCATGTCTACAAAAAATAGAAAACAATTAGCCAGGCACAGTGATGCACGCCTGTAGTCCCAGCTACTCGGGAGGCTGAGGTGGGAGGATGGCTTGAGCCCAGGAGTTTGAGGCTGCCGTGAGTGATGATCACGCCACTGCACTCCAGCCTGAGGCGACAGAGTGAGAACCCCCTCCACCCAAAAAAGTGTATTTATGGGGGTGAATGTTAAATGAGAATGCCCACTAGCTGCCTTTGTTTACTGGAACCACAAATTCAATGGGAATACATAAGTTTTCAAATGCATGGGGAAATACTGGCTGGAGGTTACCCCAAAAACGTAGCCTGTGGATTTTAAGAATGTATTTATGAGTATGGTTCTCGTTTTCTGGGCGAGTGGTGGGTGAGAATAGAGGGTGCACTGGCCCGGGGAGTTCGGAGATGCGAACCCTCCCCCCTGCAATGTGGGGAATTTTGCTGTGTGACCCCAGTGAGCCGCTGCCCCTTTCTGGGCCCCTCCCGAGGGAGGCCTAGGGTCAGGGGGCCCCTCGGCGGTGCCGGGCGCTGCCACGCGGTGACCCGATCTCCTCCCGGGCACACGCCCAGCGCCGCGCACAGCCTAAACCACCCTAGTGGATGCTTGATGAACCCTTGCACGCTCGGTTTCTCCTTTTCCCTAGCTCTTTCCAAAGTTCCATCCGTGGCTGACTCGACCTGCGGGGTCGGCAGCCACGAGGGGCCCTCCCGGGGCGCCCGGCGCGGCGGCCACTGCCCGAGCGCAAGTCCGGGGAACGGAGCCCGGAGCACCCGGGGGGGCGGGGCCAGCGCCCCGGCAGCACGCCCGCCTATTGGCTGAACGCGAGGGCGGCACTGCGGCCGACGCAACCGCCCGGCCCGGATTCTCCGGAGCGGAGCGCGCCCCGGGCTTTGTGCTGCGCGGAGGCCTCCGGCTCGAGGGGGCGGGGCCTTGAGAGCCCAGGGCTCCCTCCCCCGCCCCCATGGGCGCACACGCAGACACACACACACTCCCACCATGGACACACACACACTCCCACCATGGGGACACACACACACACCCACTCTGGAACCAATCCTGGGGCTGTAGAGACACACGCGCACACAAACACACGCATACACACATTCTCTTTCTCTTGTTCTCTCACTTTCTCTTCCACTCTGGAACTGACCAATTCTGGGGACACATACACACACACACACACACACACACACACCCACCCACTCTGGAACCGACCAATTCTGGGGACACACACACACACACACACCCACTCTGGAACCGACCAATTCTGGACACACACACACACACACACACACACTCTGGAACCGACCAATTCTGGGGACACACACACACACACACACTCCCACTGTGGAACCTACCAATTCTGGGGACACACACACACACACACACACACTCCCACTGTGGAACCTACCAATTCTGGGGACACACACACACACACACACACACTCCCACTGTGGAACCTACCAATTCTGGGACACACACACACACACACACACACTCCCACTGTGGAACCTACCAATTCTGGGGACACACACACACACACACACACACACACACTCCCACTGTGGAACCTACCAATTCTGGGGACACACACACACACACACACACTCCCACTGTGGAACCTACCAATTCTGGGGACACACACACACACACACACATCTGGGGACACACACACACACACACACACACACACACACACACACACACTCCCACTGTGGAACCTACCAATCCCGGGGCTGCTCTACACTCCCACTGTGGAACCTACCAATCCCGGGGCTGCTCTAGCGTGGAGGCCCCTGGGACCCCGCCTCCTTCCGGGCCTCTGCGTGCGCGGTATATCTCCGAAGAGATCCGCAGCACGTAGCGGGCCCGCCCCTGTGGACAGACTCACTCCTTTCTCACTCGCTCGCTTACTCACTCTTTCTTGGAACACAGCAAGCCTGAGGCTCCCGAAGCGGGAAGGCCCCATGGGACTCCGTTCCCTTTCTAGCCTCTGTATGCGCCGTATGTCTCCAAAGAGCTGCGCAGTTCGATTTCAAAGGCGTCAGCGCGCGTGGGGCGGCGGTATTGTCAGGCAAGGAAAAGGGGCTCTTCCCCGCTTCAAGGACACGCGCTCCTGCGGTCGTCGCTACTGACCACCCAGTTGTCAAAAGTTCACCCCTTTGGCTGCCCCCAACCCCTGCCCCTTCGCCATTAAATCATTTACTAGATTCCAACGAGAGGAATTTGGCTCCGGGGAGTCGAACCTCTGAGGTCAGGGTCCGGAGCAAGTGTGGGAGAGAAAGGCCTTGAATGGAAACAAAATAAATTACTTTAAGGAGTTATAAAACTCACACTCATAGGGAGAGCCGCGGGCCCCTGTGGTCAATGTACCAGCAGGCCCATGACGCAACTGTTCCGTTTGGAAATTTCTGGAAAGCAGTAATTTTTGGAATCATAAATCTTGAGTATTTTTTTTTAAACGACAGGCTTTGGAAAGAATGTAACAAAATGTTATTAACATATGTGGTGCTATCGAATCATTTAATGGTGGTTTCTGTATTTTCTGTTTTGTTTTTTTACCACATACCTTCTTAATTAAGAAAAACCCAAACTAATTTGAACTTAAAAAGGGAGGCAAAGAAAAAAGTGTCAGCGACTGGATTTTTGTGCGCAAGTCATTTAACAACGCAGCGCTGCGTGTCCTATTTCTCTTGACTTTTAACCTTGCTTTGGACAAATTGGTCGCTTTTTGTTTTGATGTAGTTTCAAGCTTACAGAAAAATTGCAAGATTATATCTAGATCGATAAATTGTTTATATTTTATTCTATTTGTTCTATTACCTCTCTAATATATTTATGCACACACATTATATATATATTTTTTTTCCTGAACTATTTGAGAGTCAGTTGCAGGCATGATACATACTCCTTAATTCTTCAGTGGATATTTCCTAGAACAAGAAAGTTCTCAGGTGGGGCGTGGTGGCTCACACCTGTAATCCCAGCACTTTGGGGGGCCGAGGTCAGGAGTTGATCACCTGAGGTCTGATAACCTGAGGTCAGGAGTTTGAGACCAGCCTGACCAACTCGGAGAAACCCTGTCTCTACTAAAAACGCAGAATTAGCCGGAAGTGATGGCGCATGCCTGTAATCCCAGCTACTTGGGGGACTGAGGCAGGAGGATCACTTGAACCCAGGAGACAGGGGTTGCAGTGAGCTGAGATGGCGCCATTGCACTCCAGCCTGGGCAACAAGAGCGAAACTCCATCTCAAAAAAAAAAAAAAAGAAGAAAGTTACGCAGCGACGGTACTGGTACCGTGGTCAAAATCAGGAAATTAACATTGATACAGTATTTTCATCCAGTGTCTTCTATAATCTTGTCTGTTGTCTCAATCTTGCCCTATATAGATTTTTTTTTCCTAGGCGAAGGTTCCAATCTAGGATCACACTTTGCATTTGAATGCTGCTGTCTCTTTAGTCTGCACAATTCCTGAGTTTTCTGTGTCTTTCACAACGTTGGCTTTTATTTATTTATTTAGTTTTAAATTTTTTTCGAGGCGGAGGCTCACTCTGTCACTCAGGCTAGAGTGCAGTGGTGAGATCTCGGTTGACTGAACCCTCTGCCTCCTGGGTTCAAGCGATTCTCCTGCCCCAGCCCCCGAGTAGCTGGGATTACAGGCGTGCACCACCACACCCAGCTAATTTTTATATTTTTAGTACAGACGGGGTTTCACCACGTTGGCCAGGCTGGTCTCGAACTCCTGACCTCCAGTGATCTTACTGCCTCGGCCTCCCAAAGTGCTGGGATTACACGTGTGAGCCACCAAGCCTGGCCAACATTGGCATTTATGAAGAGCACAGGCCAGTTATTTAATAGAATGACCTCAAGCCTAGGGTAAGTAATGTATGGAAAGAAAGCTACACAAATACTGTATTTTTCAGTGCATCATAATGGGAAACATGTGTTGTTGCCTTGTGCCACTGTTGTGGGGGATGTTACTTGAAGTATTTTTAACTAGAATTTTTAAGAAGTACATTTCCTGTAAGACTCAGTACCCAAGACATGCATATACCTGAATGAAAAGTTCCACAACAAGATTTACTCTTGCCATTTTCTTGTACTGTGGGAGTTTTTTCTTTTTCTTTTCTCCCTGCAGGAGGGGGTGCTGCTGGGGGCTGAGGACAATGCTAAACCTGAATGTCTCGAGGACAGGGATGGGGTTTCTGTATCATCTATGATCTCATGCTTGTTCAGTTAATACGAGAACTGGTTTCCTATGATTCGGCACACTGGAACATTCGACACATGTTTGTTGAATGAAAAAAAGAAAAAAGAGAAATGCTAGCAATTTGTTGAATAGTCCATAAAAGAGCAAAGCTGGCCTGGCGCAGTGGTTCACACCTGTAATACCAGCACTTTAAGAGGCCGAGGTGGATGTATTACTTGAGGTCAGGTATTCGAGACCAGCCTGGCCAACGTGGCGAAACCCTTTCTCCACTTAAACAAACAAACAAAAAAATCAGTTGGCATGATGGCGCGTGCCTGTAGTCCCAGCTACTCAGGAGGCTGAGGCAGGAGAATCACTTGAACCCAGGACGTGGTGGTTACAGTGAGCCAAGATTGCAACACCGCATTCCAGCCTTGGCGACAGAACGAGATTTTGTCTCAAAAAAAAAAAAAAAAAAAAAAAAGCAAAGCTATTATTAAAACACACTCCACACTTCACCCCTGAGCCCCATATTGATTTTGTAATAAGGCAAAGATAATTTTTTTTCCTTTTTTTGAGATGGAGTCTCATTCTGTCGTCCAGGCTGGAGTGCAGTGGCACGATCTCAGCTGACTGCAACCTCCGCCTCCCAGGTTCAAGCAATTCTCCTGCCTCAGCCTCCCGAGTAGCTAGGATTACAGGTGCCCACCACCACACCCAGCTAATTTTTGTATTTTGAGTAGAGATGGGGTTTCACCATGTTGGCCAGGATGGTCTCGATCTCCTGACCTCAAGTGATCTTCCTGCCTCGGCCTCCCAAAGTGCTGGGATTACAGGTGTGAGCCACCACACCCTGCCAGCAAAGATGATTTTAAGAAAACTTTTGTAAAAGCTCTCACCGATGCCTGTCAGCTGTTTTATGCGTCATTATTAGAATATTTGGGAGTAGAATCATGTGACTGATCAATAACATTGTTTACTGTCTAGCAGAGGCTTTTGAAAATGTATTTCCTGGCTGGGCATCGTGGCTTCCGCCTATAATCCAAGCAGTTTGGGAGCTCAGGGAGAGCGGATCTCTTGAGCCTAGGAGTTCGAGACCAGCCTGGGCAATATTGTGAGACCTCATCTCTACCAAATGTATATATACACATACAAAAATTAGCCAAGCATGGTGGTGTACGCCTGTAGTCCCAGCTACTCAGGAGGCTGAGGCAGGAGGAGCACTTGAACCTGGGAGGCAGAGGTTGCAGTGAGCTGAGATCATGCCACTGCACTCCAGCCTGGGCAACAGAGTGCGACACTGTCTCTAAATAAATAAATGAAACAAGAAGCTACTTGAAAAAAAAAATGTATTTCCAAATATATGTCAGTTTTGACAGGATAGTACACGTACTTGGTAAAAAATAAAAATAAAATAGAGCACTTTTTTGTGTCCCTTTTAGAGGGACATATGTCCCGTGTGTCCTCCCCTCCCCCCCCACCCCCTGGGTTTTTTGTTTGTTTTTTTTGAGACGGAGTCTCACTCTGTCGCCAGGCTGGAGTGCAGTGGTGCGATCTCAGCTCGCTGCAACCTCTGCCTCCCGGGTTCAGGTGATTCTCCTGCCTCAGCCTCCCGTGTAGCTGAGACTACAGGTGCGCGACACCATGACCAGCTAATTTTTATATTTTTAGTAGAGACGGGGTTTCACCATGTTAGTCCGGATGGTCTGGATCTCCTGACCTTGTGATCCGCTCGCCTTGGCCTCCCAAAGTGCTGGGATTACAGGCATGAGCCACCACGCCCGGCCCCCAGTTTTTAATGTACAATTTACATAGAGTAAAATTCACCGTTATTAATGTAAAGTTCTTCAGATTTTAATTGGTCTATGTAGTGATGTAACCATCACCACAATCAAGATGTAGAATGGTTCCATCACCACCCACCCCCAACCCTCACAAAAACAATTTCCTCTTGGGTGTTTGCAGATACTCCCTCTCCATTTTCAGCCCCCTGGTGACCCACTGGGCTCTGTCCTTTTTTGCTATAATTTTACCTTTTCAAGGATGTCATCAAAATGGAATCATTCACTGTGTAGCTTTTGAGACCAGTTTCTTTCTTTTTTTTTAATGATTGTAAAAAATTTTATTCTCAGTAAGAATAATTCCACTAAAATTATACAAAATAAATTCAATACTTAAAAGTGGCAAGGGAAGAGAGAGGAGGAGAATAATCCAGTTTGGCCTGGATGCTTTTTTCTTTTTTTTTTTTTTTTTGAGATGGAGTCTCACTCTGTTATCCAGGCTGGAGTGCAATGGTGTGATCTTCCTCCCCACTGCAACCTTTGCCTCCTGGGTTCAAGCAATCCTCCTGCCTCAGCCTCCCGAGTGGCTGGGATTACAGGCGCCTGCCACCACACGCGGCTAATTTTGTATTTTTAGTAGAGACGGGGTTTCACCATGTTGGCCAGACTGGTCTCCAACTCCTGACCTCAGGTGATCCATTCACCTCGGCCTCCCAAAGTGCTAGGAATACAGGCGTGAGCCACCGCATCCGACCTGGATCCATTTCTACACTGAATATAATACACTTAAAATCCAGCAATGCTGTTGGCCAGGTGTGGTGGCTCACACCTGTAATTCCAGCACTTTGGGAGGCCAGCGTGGGAGGATTGCTTGAGGCTAGGAGTTCGAGACCAGCCTGGGCAACATGGCAAAACCCCATCTCTACTAAAAATACAAAAAGTAGCCAGGCATAGTGGTGGACAGCTGCAATCCCAGCTACTCAGGAGGCTGAGGCAGGGGAATCACTGGAACCCAGGAGACGGAGGTTGCAGTGAGCTGAGATTACACTAGTTCACTCCAGCCTGAGTAATAGTGTGAGAGTCCATCTAAAAACAAAACAAAACAAAAAATCATCCATGCTGTTATGGGTATGAGTGTTTCATTTCTTTTTATTGCTGAGTGGTGTTTCCTTGTATGGATGTGCCACAGGTTTTTTTTGTTTGTTTGTTTTTGTTTTTGTTTTTGAGATGGTGTCTCGCTCTGTCGCCCAGGCTGGAGTGCAGTGGCGCGATCTCGGCTCACTGCAAGCTCCCCCTCCCGGGTTTGCGCCATTCTCCTGCCTCAGCCTCCCGAGTAGCTGGGACTACAGGCGCCCGCCACCACGCCCGGCTAATTTTTTGTATTTTTTAGTAGAGACGGGGTTTCACCGTGTTAGCCAGGATGGTCTCGATCTTCTGACCTCATGATCCACCCGCCTCGGCCTCCCAAAGTGCTGGGATTATAGGCGTGAG